AGCTCATCGTGACCCTGTAGGGAAATGCAGAGCAGCTCTCGAGGGTGTCCAAGGCTGTGAGCCTTTGGAGGAACAAAGAGTTTTATCTTTCGCCCTCAGAGTGGCTGGTGGGTCTGAACCACCAAACTTCCAGTTAGCAGTCCAATGCTTCACCCACTGTGCCACCAGCGTTCTTTGAAGAAATTCTTAGTGTATTTAATTTCAGAAAACTAAGACAGTCTCTCAGTGGTCTGTGGCCCTGGGGAGGTTTAGAAGATGGACCAAGAAGAGAGGACCATTGCTCAGTGGTGGGAATGACTGAGCAGAACGTTGAAGGATTTCATAGATGCTGAATTGGTTACATGGTGGCTTTCAGGAACTCCTACCATGTTACTGCTATTGCTGTTGTTCAGTGCCATCGAGTCGGTACTAACTCATAGCGATCTTATGCACAACAGCAAAACACTGCCTGGTCCCGCGCCGACCTCACAATCATTGCTATGCTCAAGTCCAATGCTGCTGCCACCATGCCAATCCATCTCGTTGAGGCTCTTCCTTTTTATCTCCAACCTTCCACTTTACCAAGCATGATATCCTTCTCCAAGGACTGGTCCCTCCTGATAATATGTCCAAAGTATGAGAGACTCGCTATCCTGGCTTCTAAGGAGCACTCTGGCTGTACTTTTTCCAACAAACGGATTTGTTTGATCTTTTGGCAGTCCATGGTTCTTTCAATATTTTCCTACAACGTTATAACTCAAAAGCATCAATTCTTCTACAGTCTTCTTTATTCACTGTCCAGCTTTCACATGGATATGAGGTTATTGAAAACACCATGGCTTGGGTCAGGTGCACCTTAGTCCTCAAGCTGACATCTTTGCTCTTAACGCTTTAAAAAGGTCTTGTGCAGCAGATTTGCCTGACGCAATACGGCGTTTGATTTCTTGACTGCTGCTTCCGTGAGTGTTGATTGTTGATCCTAGAAAAATGAAGTCTTTGACAACTTCAATCATTTCTCCGTTGATCTGGGTATTATTTATTGGTCCAGTGGTGAGGGTTTTTGTAAACGAATTGCCATATGACACTGTAATGATAGAATTTTAAGTGAAGTGTAGGCAAACATAGTTCAGTGGTAGAATCCTCACCTACCATTTGGGAGACCCAGGTTCAATTCCCGGCCAATGCACCTCATGTGTAACCACCACCCCTCTATCAGTAGGGCCTTGTGTGTTGCTTTGATGTTGAACAGGTTTCAACTGAACTTCTAGACTAAGAAAGACTAGGAAGAAAGCTCTGATGATGAACTTCCAAAAATCAGCCGATGGTATTGCTATGGGCCACAGCAGTCAGATCGACAACCGATCCAAGGATGGTGCACAGTTGGGTAGCGTTTTATTCCGTTATGCATGAAGTTGCCATGAATCGACAATGAACAAGAAGTGTGAATTTATCAAGGGTAGTCAGAAAGGAAAACCTCCTCAGTTGAATCTAGCGGGACTTGCTAAGGAGGTTTACTAAGAACTATTTGCACTCCACAGCAAAATACGAACAAAAGAAAACATGGTAGCTGAGGCAGGTAGAAGGAAACATTCAGTGGATGTAGAGTATCCCACGATAGGTTTTATATACTCAGCTTGTTCT